CAAGTTTGGCCATCCCTGTTCTAGGTGATAGCCAGTACTTTGAACTGAACTCCATAGATTATTGGTAACTAATGGGGGGTGACATGCATATCCCACCTGCTGCCTGGAGTTTCAGAGTTGTCTTTAAGAGCAGACAGTGAAGGGCTTGGACCATCTCTGTGGATCTGTACTGGTAGCAAACCACTTGTTCTACTATACTGTAAGCATCTATTTTATTTTCTGCTCCGTAGAAGCAAAGTTTGTTCTTATTTATTTATTTATTTATTTATTTATCGCATTTATACCCCGCCCTCCCCAAAGGGCTCAGGGCTTCCCCCTTGTGTTTAGATACAGAGAAGGAGGAGTGGGTGAGATATGTACATGTTGTTCGTAACCTCTCCAACCTAGGATGTTATCTGGTATGTCCTGTAACAAGGTACAGGCGGTAGCCATTTTTAAAACGGCAAATGGTGTTCCCTGTGTTAATTTTTCGCATAGTACACTAGAGGTCATCTCTGCTGGTTCATGGAATCCAAGTCTCCATTAGTGATTTGGCAGCCATATTGTTAGACCTCTTGGGTATCTCTGTGTTGGAAGGAATCATTAGAGAGCCTATAGTGCTGCTGTGGAGGTACAATGTATGTCTAATGAACGTTCTGTGTACAATAATATTTTAAGATGTGGATTGAGGGGCTTCGAATTAAACTTGAAGCGTAAGGGTGGTTTTCTCACTGCTTTTAAAAGCAGGGAAGCAGACTGAAACTGGCCTTGTACAAATTGAATGCTCGGTGCAAGTCCCAGCGTGCCTGGAGCAGCTTTTTGGAACAGATGCTTGTCTGTGACGTGCATTGCTGTAATTTCCAGATGCTTCTCCACACGTGATCTTAAAAGGCGTAAGTAGGAAAAAGTAACAACATAACTGTTGAACTAGGATTTTAGTGATAAAGGGTAAATTCATTTGACAAATAATATATTAATAACTAATATATTAATAACTTCCAGATTTAATACAGTGCAGAACTTGGCATGGAACTACTTCTTTAAACAAAAGAGCGCCATAAACTAATTGTAAAGTTCAAAAGCCTGTTTCCAGCTGTGTGGGATGTGGGAGGGTCTGTGGGTGTGTGCTGTCACTTTGCCCATTGCAACATTTCTAGAATCAGGAGTGTCCAAATTCCATGTGTCTGTGGACAGTCCCATGCCAATAAGCAGACTGTGTCCTCTCTAGGCTGGTTCTGTAATCAATCCTACCTGCAAGGCAGGTGGTCTAAAGGCAGCTGGTGCAACGTAAAGCATATCCATTCTACATTGGGTCCCTGCAAAGTAAAGAACTTTTGTCCATCGTGTCAAATACAACAGTGCCTGCTGAATGACATGGCCTTGACAATCTTGTTGTTGTTCAGTCGCACAGTCGAGTCTGACTCTTTGCGACCCCATGGACCAGCTCCCTCCAGGCCCTCCGGTCTTCCGCCATCCTCTGGTTTGCTCAACTTCATGTTCGTTGCATCGATGACACTGTCTAACCATCTCATCCTTTGCCGTCCCCATCTTCTTTGACCTTCAATCTTTCCCAGCATCAGGGTCTTCTCCAGTGAGTGCTCCCTTCTCATTTGGTGGCCAAAGTATTTGAGCTTCAGTTTCATTATCTGGCCTTCCAGGGAACAGTCAGGGTTGATTTCTTTGAGGATTGACTGATTTGTTCTTCTTGCAGTCCAAGGGACTCTCAAGAGTCTTCTCCAGCACCATAGTTCAAAAGAATCTATTCTTCTGCGCTCGGCCTTCCTTATAGTCCAGCTCTCGCAGCCATACATGACTACTGGGAATACCATTGCTTTGACCATGCGGACTTTTGTTGGCAGGGTGATGTCTCTACTTTTTATCATGCTGTTTAGGTTCGCCATCGCTTTCCTCCCAAGGAGCAGGCGTCTTTTAATTTCATGACTGCTGTCACAGTCTGCGGTGATCTGGGATCCCAGGAACGTGAAGTCTGTCACTACTTCCACGACTTCCCCTTCTATTTGCCAAGGAGTGATGGGGCCGGATGCCATGATCTTAGTTTTTTTTAATGTTGAGCTTCAAGCCCACTTTTGCGCTCTCCTCTTTTACCCTGAGCAAGAGGCTCTTGAGGTCCTCTTCACTTTCTGCCATCAGAGTGGTATCGTCTGCATATCTGAGGTTGTTGATCTTTTCCCCAGCAATCTTAATTCCCGCTTGTGATTCATCCAGGCCAGCATTTCGCATGATGTACTCTGCATATATATTAAATAAGCAAGGCGACAATATACATCCTTGTCGTACTCCTTTTCCTATGCTGAACCAATCAGTTGTTCCATATCCGGTTCTAACTGTCGCTTCTTGGCCCTTATACAGGTTTCTCAAGAGACATGTGAGGTGGTCTGGTACTCCCATCTCTTTAAGGACCTGCCATAGTTTGTTGTGATCCACACAGTCAAAGGCTTTAGCATAGTCAATGAAGCAGAAGTAGATATTTTTCTGGTACTCTCTTGCTTTCTCCATAATCCAGCGAATATTGGCAATTTGATCTCTAGTTCCTCTACCTCTTCGAAACCCAGTTTGTACTTCTGGCAGTTCTCTGTCCACGTACTGTTGAAGCCTAGCTTGTAGGATCTTGAGCATGACCTTGCTAGCGTGTGATATGACAATCTATAAGGTGTAATGACAATAAGGTGATATGACAATCTATAAGGTGTAAAATCTTCATAGCTTGTATTGCAGCTTGGTTCATAGGGGGCGGCAGCCCGAGATGCTCATCTGTTATTCTAAAGATAGAGACTAGGGCTGCCAAGTCTCGTTGAATCGCGGCGGGGGATCGTCATTCTTTACAGGAGCTCTGCCGCGGGGGACGGCAACAGGCGTTGCACCGCTGTCGCCAGGATGTGACGCTACACGTTGCTCTGGCAGCGGTACTCCAAACAGCCCCGTTGCCAGAGCGACGCGTAGCGTCACATCCTGGCGACGGCAGTGCAATGCCGGTTGCCGTCCCCCGCGGCAGAGCTCCTGTAAAGAATGACGATCCCCCGCCGCGATTCAACGAGACTTGGCAGCCCTAATAGAGACAAAGTTGGTTTCAGCCTTTTCCCAGCATTGATTAATCTGCCTTTTTGAGGCTGGCTTCTCTGAACTGGTGACCTTGTAGGTATTGGAGGAAAAAGGACCCTAAAAATAGAGGTTGAGGGTTTTCTTCCTTGGGCTGTGGCCTTTGGGATATGCTTGTTTCAGCAACCACCTCCCCAGTGTAAATGAAAATGGCTGTTACGTGATTTTGTTCCACGGCCTAAAGCTGGGGCAATTGTTTCCTTATGTCTTTCTCAGTGTACAGAGAGGCAACCGTATTCTTATGGTCCTTTGTGCCGTCAAACTGTTGAGTATTAAAAGGTTTCTTGTGGCGTGTTGGGCAAATGATTGACGCTAAGCCGAAGCAGGTGCAGGGACTGTGGCGGCTTCTTCAAAGCTATATTCGGACGGAGCGACTAAACTGGAAAAACAAACTCTGGACCCACCCTACGCCTGATGGATGTTTAGCTCTTTGGACTGTATGCCAGCTGGTCTTTTGGCTGGCCCACCAGGGTTGAGCTGTGGATCTGCGGAGCTAAATTTCTGGTTTCCCTTGAATGCAAATTAATGGGAGGGTTGAAGCCCGTCTGTCATATGCAGTCTGCCTTCTGCAGACTGAGGATACAGCCTTAGGAAGATCCAGTGAAGTATATTTGCATATAAATTAGGGATGTGCATTCGTTTGATAAGGAACATACATTCCTTACATTCGGTAGGGCAATGAAAACAAATGGGAATATCGATAGGGTTGCTTTTTGCTGCTGAGCCATTAACAATTCCACCAACTGCTGCTTCAGCAAGGATAATTCAGCAGCCCCTGTTGATGGGGGGTGGGGGGACACGGACGACAAGGAGGCACTGGGGCCTTAGTGCTGTGGCACCGTAGCTCCTGAATGTCTAGCAGTGTCAAGGTCTGTGCCAACCCTGCGTTGCTGGGATAGCAGCCCCAGTGCCTCTGCTGCCCCCTTCTGACACTGCTGCTGCAGTGGTGCTTTCCAGTTCAATTGAAACTGATGGGAATGAATACAAACACAATAAACATATACCTGTGGTAATGAGTACAATGAAAATGTATGGTGCTTCTAACACACATACACAGATTATGCACCCCTACCGTAAGCACTTGCATTTCCTAACCACTTTCAGATGCTTGTTTTTTTTGGGGGGGGGCTTTAATTTGGATTATGACTATGTCCTGGAATGGTATGTTTGAATTGAAAATATTCAAACGGCTGCCTAGTTTAGTGCCTAGCACAAAGCGCTGTCCCCCCTTCTCTCCTTCAGATCATGAATGTATATGTTATAGTTCTTGCTGTGTCAAAATTAGAGCAAATTACGTTGCCTTTTATGTACGTGAAGAATTTAAAAAGGAGGGAGTAGCACCTGTGCATGTACAAAGTTAATTTTCTTCTGGCACGCAGAGCGTATGTCTTCCAGTCAAGCTTAAATTCCAACACATGGAAGTGGGTCCATGAAGTTCTGTCTTTGTATAATGAGGGAAAGTATATTGCATTAGCATCTGGTTATGAATGTCTGTTGGGGAGGGAGACCTTGCTCAGACATTGCTTGATGTGGGTTCTTCCTGCAGCAGCCTGGCTTACTGTTCCCTTGCCTTTTGTTTGTTTTGCAGAACCGTGCCTCTGATCACACACCCAAGGAGTAGTCATGCATCCCTACTTGTTGAGGGATGTTCCGGACACTCCAGTCTGCCGAATTTCCACCCCAATGAGACAGTGATGATGGGACACTGCTGGTATTTTTGCCTTGGAGAGGAACTCTGAATGGATTTGCCATGGTGACATGAACAAGACCAGGATGGATAATGGACTGCCAGAGGGGCGATCCAATGTACAAGCTGCCTCTTAGTGAAATTATCCTTAGCCTTTCCTGTGTCAACACCTGGAGGGAGGGGGGCAGGGCGGGTGGGGGGGAAGGAATCTGAACTCTCTTTCAAAGCAAGGATGACTTTGTTGGTAAGACTCCGGAGGAGTTTCCGCCAGGTGTCTCCTCAGCTGGTGCTGTTCCTGCTGTTTGCCTTCTGCCTGCTCAGTGTTTTTATCTCTGCATATTATTTATATGGGTGGAAGAGGGGACTGGAGCCCTCTGGGGACATCCCCAGCCCAGACTGCGATGAACCGAAGGTTGCCCCTTCACGCTTGCTTCCATTAAAGCCCATCAAAGTGGTAGATTCTTCTCGTACGGACCCTTTGGTTCTAGTGTTTGTGGAAAGCCTTTACTCTCAGCTGGGCCAGGAGATTGTGGCCATCTTGGAATCCAGCCGTTTTAAATACTTGACAGAGATTGCTCCGGGGAAGGGGGACATGCCCACACTGACAGACCACGATCGAGGACGCTTTGCACTGATCATCTATGAGAACATCCTGAAGTATGTGAACCTGGATGCTTGGAACCGCGAGCTCTTGGACAAGTACTGCGTAGAGTATGGTGTTGGAATCATTGGCTTTTTCAAGGTATTGGTTTTTGACCTGGAGGAAAGCATTTGCAGCACGAGAGAGAAGGGGCTGCTGAGTCCATTAACTTTGTGGGATATTAGCTGCATCCATCTGTGGAAAGCAGAATGTTCTTTGGGCAGGTACAAGTGTGCCTTGATCTAATCCTACAGCAGAACAAGGTAGATAAAATGAGTGCCGCACCACTTCAAGTAGTAGGGTGTCTGTATGCCATTTGTTGAATGTTCCCCTAGATCAAAAATTCCCTGTGAATTGAAAACTAGCACAGCAAGAAAAGAGCTAGGCTAAAACCTCTTCTCCCCAATATACTTATTTTCTGCTAGTGGGGAGTGTGTAAAAGGGGGAAGTATTAAAAACTATTGGTTTGGTTTCATTTTTATTCTGGTCAGTGACACCACCCCAGCATTGTGATTCCTCAATCCAACTTTATTTTTCTGCCTACATCCAGATTGTCTCCCCACCCCAGGACTGATGGAGGGCTTCTGTGAATGAAATTTGGGCTTAGTTCCACTACTAAGAGTGGAGGTCAAAAGCACGATGTCTGTCTGTCTCCCAGAACTCAGAACCTTCTAGAAACTGGTCAGCTGATTCAGTGCCAAATTTGTGTCTGAATATGGTGTTATGAAAACCTTTTAGGATGTGAGTAGTAGGAAAAGTATTGCTGAACTAGTCCAAAGTCACAATTCATAATGAACAATTCATCTTTAGTTACTAATAACTCTAGAAAGTTATTAGCGCTTGCAGTCATCCCTTTCACAGTTGTTTTTTCAACAAAGTTCCTTCTGACAGAGATTTTAACTTATCTGTGTGGAAAAATCCCCCTGTCCTGTTTCTTCTCTCCTGCCCCTCTACACAGCAATAGTACTGAGAACAAATGGGGCTTTGAAGGCTTAGTCTGATAGGATGCTTCTGGCATTCAGTGTCATTTACTTAAATGGCTGTGCCTAATCTATCTGTTTTCCAGGACCTTGTGGCAGGTGTTTTTATGAAGGTGCTCTTGGTTTACTCAGGTTTAAGGTCTAGGCCCAGGAAGATCAGCGCTCTGCAAGATGTCAGCCTTCCTTAGACACCTCCTCATAGTCACTCCTCGCTGTTGAATGGCCTGATATCTTGCCAGTGCCAAGCTGATAACTAAAAGTGCTGTGTTTTTAACTGGTGCCAAGAGCGGATTTACAAATCTGCACCTTTTCAGATGAAGCTTGGCTGCCATCGCCTGTAATTTTGCTGGTGAAAGTACAAAGATGATGATAATGGCCCTTTGGGGAATTAGTTAATGTGTGAGAACAAGCTTCAGCCGGAAGCAGGAGGGGGGTGCAAACGTCACAGTGTCTTTGCTCAGCACTTGATAACCCTACCCTATTCTGTCTTTCCTTGGTGGTTTCTGAGGGATTCAAGACTGTTTTGACTTTCTGCATGGTGGAGGTCAAGGCAATTCTCACAGTAGTTGCCTGAGTCTATTGCAGTTTTCTGCTTAAGAGTGTAAGCCAGGAAGGTTAAGAATCAAGGGCAGAAATTAAGTGATCTGAATGGGGCTTCATTCTGAAATTCCGGGGCTGTCCTGCTGTTTTAACGGACACTTCTGCAGGGTGATCTTTTTCTCTTCTGAGTTCCCTTTTGCTCACTTGACTCATGCCTGTGAAAGCTGTTGCTATAATCAATCTGTTAAGTCTTTTAAAATGCCAAAGCAAAGTCTCTCTCGCTTCCTGTCCTTCTGTGTTCCAGTCCACTGATAAAAATTATATCTTTGGTAGAGGTATGGTTGGATGCTTAGCGATATGGGTATGCTATGATTTAATCCTCTTCCAGATGTATGAAAAATGTATCTGGATGCAACTGGCTTTTGAAAAGCTTTATTTCATCTCACAAAACAGCATCAGTTTTGGAACTCATTGCTCAGTCCTGTTGGAAAGTACATGGACCACACAATGTGTATATTGTAATAATAAAAACTGTTTTATGCATGGGCCCTTTCTCTTGACATAAATGTTGGAAGGAGGAGGCATGCAAGAGCTACTAGTAGAATCAGTGTTCCAGAGTTCACAGTCTGCAGATCCCATCTTCTGTGAAACTAGTAGGCTTAATGTAAAACTCCAGCCACAAAGGTTGTTGACCTAAACAGTTCTATGCAGCTGTTTCAGCAAGGCACTCTGATCCGGGGGGAGGGGGTTCAAGGTGGTTGAGTACATGCATGCTAAGACTTGCTTTAACAGCTGGTTGGTGGGTGTGGGTAGCACCATGTTTATCCTTATCACATATCCCTGTCCTACAAACTTATGGAACCAGCAGGACCATATGATTCAGACAAGCAGCATGTAACCCTCAGTTGTCTGCACAGCTATGTCCATAAGAGAGCAGAAAACAACAGAACGAGTTGGTATTTAGAGGTCACTGTAAGATGGCTGTTTGCTCTAAGACACAGGGGCATGGCACCTTCACAGCACCATCTGGCTTAATCTGTTTGGAACAGAAGCATAGAGAGAAGTAGTAGTTTGATTTTAGTTCTGGGCTTGTTTCAGAGTACCATTCTTCAGTCAATGGTCACTGTAAGATCAGTATTTTACATCTGTTATAAAGGTCAGAGCCACTGAACTAGGCCCTTGGGAGGGATGCATCCAGATGTTATGTGACTAGGCCTTGACCTTTTGTAATGGGAGCCAAGACATGGAGTAAAACAGAGGTCTTATAATCTTTCAAAATATAGCCACTAGATTCTTGTTTCTCTATAGCTAGGGATCCCAGCCCCCCAGTGGGGGCAGGGGACCCTCCAGCTTGGTGGGCTCCTTCCCGATGCCGGCCAGCTGGCCAATAGGGGAAGCCCCTCCCGCAAATGCACGCTCCCCTGACTAACTTCTGGGTAAACCGGAAGTGCATCTCCAATGTGATGGCATCACTTCCAGGTGACGTCATTACAAAAGAATAATGGCCCATCCAGTCCAACACTGTCACACAGTGGCCAAAAAGACCCAGGTGCCATCAGGAGGTCCACCAGTGGGGCCAGGACACTAGAAGCCCTCCCACTGTTGCCCTCCCACTGTTGCCCCCCCCAAGCTCTAAGAATACAGAGCATCACTTGCCCCAGACCAAGAGTTCCTATCTGTATTTTGTGGGTAATAGCCAATAAAATCACATCGGGGAAGCCAGGGCAAAACGCTGTGGTTTTGAGGTCAAATTAACCATAGAGTTTTGCCCCCACCGAGATGACGTCACTTGGAAGTGACGTCATCTCCGGGGGGGGGGGCCTTTTAGTTTGGCCGGAAGTTGCTCTGTGCAAATTCCGGTCTCCTAGAAGTGCCCCAGGAGACCCTCGCTGGTCAAGTGGCAACCCTATCTGTAGCAGTTCTTTATGCCAGTAATCTAGTGCTTGAGGTCCCGATTTGAGGAAATTGTGAGGTTTGGAATTCTGTAGAATAGTTTTTCTAGAACATTATCACATCATGGACCACCTGAAATTCAGTTCTGAACATTGTTGTCACATGATGCTATCCTATTGCCTCTGGTTTCCATTGTCACATTCCCTGTGTTCTCACTATTAGCAGCCAAGAAAGTTCTTCTGTATCATTTAACTGTAAAACTGAGAAATTGTGAACATGGTTGAATGATCTTCTGCACCAATACCCAGCATGTCTGGGGTAAGGGCTAACTTAGCATTAAGGGCCCCATACAGTCTGAAACTATTTTATAGTTATGCTTAATTGCTATTATCTATTGTTTTAGCTGTACTGTCGTAACCCGCCCTGAGCCTCCTACACTCAGGGCTGGTTACAACAGTACAGCTATATAACAAATAATGAAATAATACAGGCCAGGCCATTCTGGTGCAGCCATGTCCCCCAAGAGAGGGGAAAGAGACTGAATGGACTGGGCATTTGAAGGTCATTACGGAATGGCAGTCTGCTTGTTTTGGAATAGGCCCAAAGTCTTAGTTCTTCTAGATATTGATATATGAATCATATTGTTAAAGGTGCCTCCTTATGGCTGCTGCTGTGTTGGTTAAAGAGCTGTGAAGATGGCTGGCTGTGCTTCCTTGCAAGGGCAGGAAGAGGAGCAGCCACTGAGTTTGTGACTTCTGCTTCAGACCCAGGTTGCTTAGCATGAGGTTGGGCAGAACCTAGTATAAAGTGCTGGCTAACTGTTTTTTTAGGTACTGGATTCCATTGCCACTTCCTTCCTGGTATGGCCACATCGTAGCAAGTGAGCCCTGCAGCAAGGGCACCAAAGGCTATCCAACTAGATGTTGGTATGGCTTGGGCTTTCTGAGCTGGCAGTACAGCCTGGCTACTGTGAGTTGCAGCAGCAGTATCTATATCTGCTTTGAGCTGATCATTACTGATAATGCGTACCCCATAATGTGGAATTTGCAGTTTCATGGAGAGAGCAAGTTGTAACTGGGACTCTTAAGTGTGTTTTAGTTTTCCCTGTGAGAAAAAATGGGGGTCCTTGGGTTGCTAAAATTAAAGTAACGCTGTACTAAGAGGTGTGGTCCTTGGGTTGCTAAAATTAAAGTAACACTGTACTTGTTGTATTCCATATTACTAGATGACTTTTACTTTCCAAATGTAGAAAAATCTCTCACTGGAACATTTCTAATTTTGATCTGGCCTCGACGCAAGTTTCAGACAAGCAAAAGAAAGCTTCAAAAGTAACTTCTGCAGATCATTATCACAAGATGTGGTTGATAGCCACTGGCTTAGATAGCTTTTGGAAAAGGATTAGATGTATTTGCATGAAGGATGGATCTGTCATCTGCCATTAACCATGATATTTGAGTGGAACCTCCATGTACAAAGGCAGCATGCCTCTGGATTTCAGGTGCTGAGGATAAACAAAGGGACAGGGCTATTGACATTTCGTTCTGCTTATGAGCGATCCTAGGGCACCTCACTGGTCATTGGCAAAAGTAGCTTGGACAAAATGGATGATGGCTCGATTCAGAAAGGCCATTCTTGTGGCAGTTTTGTGTGTGTGGCACTCTGTTCTTTAGAGACGTTCTGTACTGAACTCTACAACATGGCACATTGTGACCTATAAGCCCCCTAGTCCTTGGTTGTGACGGTTGCCTCACATTTCTGGCCAAGCTCTCATTTAGTTCATGTAATCTCTCCACAGGCCAATGAGAACAGCTTACTGAGTGCTCAGCTGAAAGGCTTCCCCCTCTTTCTCCACTCCAACCTTGCGCTTAAGGACTGCAGCATCAATCCCAAATCTCCGCTGCTGTACATTACGCGGCCCAGTGAGGTAGAGAAGGGCCTGCTTCCAGGGGAGGATTGGACAGTCTTCCAGTCAAATCATTCCACCTATGAACCTGTCCTCCTAGCTAAGACCAAGTCAGCAGAATCCATCCCACACATGAGCATTGATGCTGCCCTCCATACCACTGTGGTACAAGACCTGGGCCTCCATGACGGCATCCAGAGAGTCCTCTTCGGCAACAACCTCAACTTCTGGCTGCACAAACTGGTCTTCGTGGACGCGGTTTCTTTCCTCACTGGCAAGAGGCTTTCCCTCCCCCTTGATCGCTACATCTTGGTAGACATTGATGATATCTTTGTTGGCAAGGAAGGCACTCGCATGAAAGTGGATGATGTCAAGGTAATTATAGCCACAGCTAGGTATTGTGCTTAATGGAAGGGTTGTGGAAAGACTCACTGCTCTGTGGATTAATTTCTTTTTATCTAAAGTCTAGAGATGTAAATCTGCTGCACAGGGGCTTAGAGCAGTGACCTGAATCCATCATGTGGATTCTGTTGCCTGGGTCTAGGCATCCCTTCTAGAACATTCATTGTGTTTCAGTCATCCTCAGGATTTAGAACACTGGAAAAAGTGACACGTTAAAATGCAGACTATATAACCAGGTGATCTCATCCTCATGAAACTTTTATCTAGAGGCATGGTATCTTTTTCAGAAACTTGGTGGTTCTCAACTAACAGCTTAAAGCATCAGTTGCAAATTACCTCTATTAGCATTGCTAAAAATAATTGTACAGGCAGAAATGTACAATTGAATTTCTTTATGGTTAAATTAGAATACCTAATATCTTGGGTTAAGACTAAGTACATGTACAATTTATTGTTGTATAAAAATTTTCTGTGTCTCATGAAGTGGACTGTATACTGCAAAAGAACAGTTTTCTCTTGTATTCTAAAGATGGAGGCATTTAACTGACATTTAAGAGCAAGAAATACTCAGTATCAGTCTAACTTCTGTGTAATTCTATTGATTCTTTCTGCGCAAGCTTTAAACCTTGGGCATGTTTTAGCCAGTAAATAAGTATGGGCATGCATGGATATACTGGGCAACAAACAGAACATTTGGCTACTTAAGCACATGTCTGCTTCCACTTTTAATTGGGACTACAGAATATTTGTAACGTAGCCAATAGGTAAATGTGCAACAACTTGCCTTATTAAAAGTGGAGATTGTTACTGAACCTGGTAGATAGTTGGTGCAGTTTGGTGTCATGGTCAAAGATTTAGCTGTCAGCTGTTCCTTGAACAAAGCCCTAAATATCCCAAGGGAGCCATTGTGCAAAGTTTGAATGGCTTCTGTGCCTGATGAAAAACTGTGTTAAGACCTTGCCTACTTACACATGGTTTCTTTCCGTGCCCATCTTCTCAATTGCTTGTATTTATCTAATAAGGGGTAAGTCAGCCAGTATGGTTTCTGTTCACACAAATCGTCCTAGGTCCTCAGTATCAGGAGAGGTAATGTGTGTATGCTGACATATTGGATTATTGGCTGACAGCAATTTTATTGTTTGTCTGGGAGGCTACAAGATGTATTTCGGGGGGGGGATTATAGCTTTATCTGCCCAACTAGGCGATTTTGAATGAAAACCTCACCTCATGTGACTTCTCACATACAGATGTAAAAACAACTGGCCCTAAGGCTTCCTCGTGTTATACTATCGACATGGGGACCTACTGCAGTGTTGTTTCTTCCTATGCCGCGAGAGTGACGTGAGAACTACCGCATGGAGAGAGCCTGCACTTTGGAGCCCTTCCTGTGCCAGTGTTGCTCTGCTGAATACAGGGCAGCAGCTGCCTTGGGGACGAGCTGCAGCCAGAGCTTCTGAGGCTCCTCCTGTTACTCCAGTGATGTGGGCTGGAGCCATGCTGCAGCTGCTCCCATGTCACTCTTGTAACTTGAGAAGAGGATCTTTGGTGTCATCCAGACTGACTCTCTCTCACACACACTCTCTCTCTCTTTCTCTCTCTGTGCACATGTGTGTGTGTTCCTGAATTCATGGGGAATCTGCAGGATGCTGGTTAGCTTTTCACTCATTGATTTTTTCACACACACACATATATATATATTTTAAAAAGTAAAGTATACTAGCAAGGGGATACAAAAGAAAAAGAGGGATTATAGAACAAATTATATGTATCAAAATTATTATGCATTGCAAAATATACAGAACAGGAAAATTAAATATTTCTCCCCAACATCCCCTTCATTATAGTTTTTAAGACATTTTCTATAAGGTAATTCACTCATCCATTTTTAATTGTTTTGGGCTTAGAGTGGTGGGCAGTCTGCCTTGTGGAATACAGGAACACAGATTGTTGACATAAAACTTTATAGAATGATCTGTAAACACTGCCAGCCACAACCATGGGCCAAAGCTGGGCTTGGAAATGGGATTGTGCAGCCCAGTGAACTGCACTGCTAAACTGCCGAGGTGTCTCGGCTTCCTAGGTCAGGGCAGCTATGGGCTGTGTGGCACACCCAAAGGAATCTGCCTTCGCTTTCTGATGCTTCCGGGCTTGCTGTTCAACTTGCCTTTTGTTGTACAAACACAGGGCATCAGTAAACAGATCCTAAGCAAATACCTGTCTTTTCCTTTTCCCTCTTCTAGGAATTAGACTGAACAAAAACTCTAGGGCTGTGGTCACACACGCTAAATAATCCACTTTCAATCCACTCTCAGTGCACTTTCCAACTGGATTTTTACTGTGTGAACTGGCAAAATCCAGTTGGAAAGTACATTGAGGGTAGATTGAAAGTGGATTATTTAGTGTGTTTGACCACAGCCTGTATGTGACTTGTGTGTGTGTGTGTGTGTGTGTGTGTGAAATAAAGAGATTATTAGGCACACTGATGCCCGAAATACCTAGCGAACGGTAGCAAACAAATTAAGTTAGTGTCAGCAGTAGTTTAAGGCCATGTGCTGCCTTATATGTACACTGGCAGAAAGAACACTGTAGTACAAGAAATGCTTTTGCAGGCTGTGTGCCCAACTGTGGAATGTATGTATGTGGTGTGCTGCATATTTTATAACTTAAAACATCCTTTTCCCATACTGCAGGCTTTATTTGACACCCAGAATGAACTGCGGACCCACATCCCAAATTTCACCTTCAATCTGGGTTACTCAGGGAAATTCTTCCATACAGGTAAGGAAAGGAGTTTTGTTGCCTTCCTGTGGTTTGAACTTGATTTCACTTTTTTTGCAATTACTGAAGGCCGAACTAGATGTGACATGGGGGATCAATAATTAAGATCTCATGCTGTTCTTTAAAAGGCTAAAAGTAGCCTGGGGGAGGGGGAGACCAGCGCTTCTGTCAGTATCACAGCACTGGAGGAAGGAGGTTTGATTCTTCTCCTTTGCAGCATTCCCTTCCCTCTTTCTGGAGCTGCCGCTTGCCTGTATGTCAAACACTGAGGTAATTAGATAGCTTCTGTCTGTTTCCCCCTTGCCAGACAAACAGGTCATGGGGGGGGGGGGAATGGTGAGGTGATCATGCGTCTTTTTTATTTTGCCCTGAAGCACACCATTTGTGTGGCAAACTCTGACTTTGCTAAGTATATAAGACATTAAGCTGCTACTAGTGATGATATATGATAAAAACAGAGGGAGAAATGTGGTAAGATTCAGTCTACATTTTTTTTACCTCAAAACGTCCAGTTTATGGCAAAACAGTGTGGCAAAGAGTTTGGAGTGGTTTGAGTCTGTAAGGGTGGTGGTGTTCCTTTTGATGTATTCAGCCTCTTATTAGTGATGTTGATGGTTTGGGCCTGGCAGGTACAGATGCAGAAGATGAGGGAGACGACCTGCTGCTCTCATATGTGAAGGAGTTCTGGTGGTTCCCCCACATGTGGAGCCACATGCAGCCTCACCTTTTCCATAACCAGTCTGTGCTGGCGGAGCAAATGACCATGAACAAGAAATTTGCTGTTGTGAGTAAAATGCTGTTGGGAGCAGAGGAGGGGAGCAGGGGTGATACGGTGAGCGAAATAGTAATGAGCACTAGGGTGGTCCTCTAGTCTTGGTGGCTACCAGTTGACCATCCAAAACCTGGCATCCTCCCAAGGAACTTTGGCTTGGATCCTGAGCCTTGCGTTCTGTTGCACTGTGCCCTTCTGTACTGTGAAAATAGTCCTCCATTGTGCAGACTACATTCCTTTTGGTGCCAGGGCTTCTGCTCAAGCAATGTGAAAAGCACCTGGAGACAGAGGGATGTGTTCCTCAGTGGAGAACTGATTCTGCAATAGGCAGCAGCATTTAGGATCCAAGCCTCTGTTACTGAATAAGTTTAGCATGATACTTCTCAGAGGGCTTCCTGTCACTGCACAGGTATTGTAGCATTGTAAAACTAGAGACTGAGTATTCCATTCCCTCTGTGGCCGCACAGAGTAACAGCACTATTCCCAGAGAACTGGGACATCTACATGCCACTTGGCTTCATGTTACTAGTATTTAATTTAAGAACACCAAGGACTTCTATCCCATTGTTTGTGCCAGTTATTTCCAACTTTTCTTTTGATGTGCTAACCTCTTTTTGCCTGTGTTTTTGAAATACTTAGTTTCACAATATCCTTACAGCCTAGTCAAATTATGTTGCTTTAGAGTGCATGCTACTCAAATTCCTGAGTCCAGTGACTTTGACAATTAGCCTCCAATACGTTTAGTCCAGTTCTTAGACCTTTTGATAAGATGGGTGCTGCCAGGCAGCTGGTTCTTAACAGAGCCCTCCTTGGGAAGTCTACTTAACTCTTCCTTGTACTCTTCGTTTAGTACAGGAAAGACTCAGCTTGGACAAATGTCCTTCAAAGAGCAGATACTAAAGATTAATGATTGACTCTTGTAAAGGAATTGAGTTACAGTTATAAACCAGCATGATTTGCAAGAAGAGGTAATTTGTTTGCTGTTATAAGAACTAGAAAAGACAAGAATGGAAAACATAACAGTTATCACAAGATAATCCTTAAAAACAAAACAATTTGGCATATTATTTGATGACTATCTGCGTTCCACAGGGACTTTTAAAAATGTAAGTCATGGATTTAGCAAATAGGTTAATAGGCTGTTTCCCCCTGGAGTAGCTGCTCAAGTACAACTCAGAGAGCCTTTTGGCTATAAAGCACAGCAGAAGTGTGTGTGTGTGTGTGTGTTTAAATAAACCGAGTCCAGAATGTTTGTCATTTATCCATCCATGGAGGAAAGGCAGTATAAAAATATGATAGACAAAAATGAGTTGCCTTCTCTCCTCTTAGGAGCATGGTATCCCCACTGACATGGGATATGCTGTGGCACCCCATCATTCAGGAGTGTACCCAGTCCATGTACAACTATATGAAGCATGGAAGCAAGTGTGGGGGATAAGAGTCACAAGCACCGAAGAGTATCCTCACCTCAAGCCAGCTCGCTACCGACGTGGCTTCATCCATAATGGAATCATGGTAAGTAGAAAGGGTATCAGCTTATTTCAAAGTTAACTTGTTTTCATCCTCCCACTGTTTGTACACCATCCAAATCTGCTAATACATCAGCTTGGAAGATAACCAGTGGCTACATGACACAATTTAAAGTCTGGTTAAATGCAAGGTGTCACTTCTCTGGATACCTAATAGGAGTTTAATCTGTGGTGATATTACTCCAGAACGATATTGTGTGGTTTAAATACAGATGTAGCTAACTGTTAGGGACTGCTATTGTATACTGTGCTGTATACCTTCAAATGAAATTGTAAGATAATTTTTTCCCCATCTTTGGAGGAAAGGAAATGGAAAATAATTCCTACCACCACCACCACCACGCACAGTACTCTAAATTCATTAATATTTGTATGCAACCATTGTTTAAAGGATTTCTTAGAGATCTGTTAGCCTCACAGCAAGCCTCTGAGCCAGGCTGAGATGAGAAATAGTAGCTATACTCAGATGTTGTTATGAACCTTGGTCTGTAAATAAACCATGGTTAGTTCTGATGTCTGAATGCTAACCATCCATTGGCATCAAACCAGGATTTATAACTGTTTTATTAACCACAGTTTATATTAATTGTAGTATGTTATGATATGTTTGAATTCACAAACTACAGTATGAGTTACTGCCCCTTAAGACTATTAGGCCATAGAGGTAAGCAGTATAAGGAAAATGTCCTTTTTCCTGAGAGGCAGAGAAGGGGCACTGAACTGGGATACATGCAAACTGGGATTTGGTTTTTTATGACCAGGCAGAGTAACCAAAATTTGTTGTGTTGTTTATCACTAGGGGTGTTAAAAAAAATCAGTATTTTTCAGTTTGAGCAGGGGAAAAAAAATATGATATTTTACGATATTCCCGAATCCTAATACTGGCATGGTATTCAGATTTGAGATTATTCATAAATCCTGAATTTTCTGGCTTCCTTATACCCTATGGGGACCATTATAGTCAACGGTCCCCATAGGGTATAATGGAGAATTGATCCAAGGGTATCTGGGGCTCGGGGAGCGGTTTTTTGAGGTAGAGGCACCAAATTTGCACCATAGTTGCTGGTGCTTCTCCTCAACTCCCCCCCACCCCCAAGTTTCAAAAAGATTGGACCAGGAAACCAAAGAAGGTGCCCCCAATCTCCATTGGTTTTAATGGAGGGGAGGAAAGGTGTTGAAAGGGATTGCAGTCCCTTTAAATGCCTTCTCTAAGTCACAAGTGAACTTCAAAGGCATTTAAAGGGCTTGCAGTCCCTTTAAACACCTCCAAGCACTGAGTTCACTCAGAAGGCGTTTAAAAGAACTGTAGTCCCTTTAAACACCCTTTAACTTTGACTGTCTGACGGTCCCAAAAAATCCCAATTTTGGGGGGATTTTTGGGGCTTGTTGTTGTTCAGTCGCACAGTTGAGTGACTCTTCGCGACCCCATGGACCACATCACGCCAGGCCCTCCTGTCCTCCATCGTCCTCCAGGGCTTGCTTGGCCATTACCCAAATCTATATCCAGCTGAAAGAATAGCCAGAAAATACTGATAAGGTATTTTTCGGATTTTTTTTTTTACTCTGATATAGCCGAATGCACACTCCTGTTTATCACAATATATGAATGCTGCTAGTGACTTTCCCAGTGAGTGTGTAGTTAAAGCAGAGATAAGAACCCTAGGCTTTCTGGTTTCTAGCCTCTGCAATACCACAGCCTTCCAATGTGAACGAGGAGCAAATCAATATTTCCCCTGAGGCTGAATCTAGCTAAATGCTTATGCTGGTTCCTAGATTAGGTCAGGGAGAAGAATAGGGCTGTGTTTTGGATGGTATCAATAATTTAGCAGTATTTTTTTTTAAAAAAACAACTAGGAGAACAGGAGAAGTGTCAATTAGTTGTAGAATCTGATGGAGAAGTATGTGTACAATGAAAAACATAATAGAAAGTTTGCACGACTGAGCACGTCAGCAAAAGCAAGAAAGGTGCCTCAGGAAAAAAAGAGCTTTATGGTTTTCAGACAGGTGGCTGCAAATATCTGTGGAAGTTTATTTACTTTCAAATTTATAACCTGCCTACTCAGTTTCAAAGGTCTCCAGGCAACCCACTGTTTGTTTTTAACAATCATCATACAGCTTGTGTCTAAAACAAAAATCAATCCTCTCCATAAAACTCAGTTTTAAAAAGTTATTTGCAGCAGAAGCAGCACAGCAGTGTCTTCCAAGTGCCCAGCAGGTATTGTCAGTACTTTTCCAGGTCATCTGATAAAGAGGGTGTGTGTGTGTGATGTAAACCTGTTGCCTCTGTCATGTGGCGGAATTCCCTGATCTGTGCACTCTAGCAAGAGGTTTCTGGTGCTGGCTGTGCAATCAACGCATAGTGTCAAACAACTGTTGAAGGACGTGGTGTGTATTGGTCAAACAACCACGTGTGTGAAAATGGATCCTTTGGAAAGCTGATAACTTGGCAGACATGCCCAGAATTTGTAAGGCGAACAGGAATGGGCTGATGTCTTCTCTCTTAAATCACTTTACTATATATTATATGCTTCCTTTCCCATCTTTCGGCAGATTCTCCCACGGCAGACATGTGGCTTGTTCACACACACCATATTCTATAATGAATATCCCGGAGGCTCCAGTGAACTGGATAAGATCATCAATGGAGGCGAACTTTTCCTGACTGTGCTTCTTAACCCCGTGAGTGCTGCCTGAAGGAGAAATGAGAGGCCCCCCCTTTTCGCAGGGTCTAGGGGAAGACATGTGATTGATGGCATGAAATGGGGAGAAATGTTGTTAACAGGGCTGGTTTTCCAAACTCTTTATTCAGAGCGGGAATGAATGCCTAGTTCTGGCTTTTCCAGGTGTCTAGGCCCTTCTGTTCTCCCTGCTGACTTTGGCTTGCTTATTATTTGTGTTCAGTTTCCTGCCGTGTTATGATTTTAGATAGAATGTTGAATGGGGGCGAAGGACTTTGTGTTTTAATGTGGGTCACATGCTCTTTCTCTCAGGTGACCTGTTTTGTTAAACTGCTCCTCAAGTCATAAGTACGTCTCTGCTGTGATACACTATATTTATTTTTCCTCTCTGCTTGTGTCATGTTATTGGGCAAAAGGTGTCAATTTATACAGGATTACTAGAGGATATGGATTTAGCTGAAGGATTTTCAAAGGAGTTTCCATTTTTAGTTTAGAAAAAAAACCTAGTAAGGAGAAAGAAGAGATTGGTAAAACTAAACACTGTGGAGTAGAACTTGGATGGTGGGGGGACAGCAGATTTGGCAACAGATTTGGGGCATATGGTGAGAAATTCTGTTGTAGACAATGCATAATTAAGTTACAGAGTGCATTGCCATAAGGCACCATCTTAGGTGACTATAGAGTATGATCGCTCTCATCTGTGGTGGTCTTAGTTGCATAAAGGAAAAGTAAACGATGAATGGTGAGTATCTTTTTGTTTTTAACCTAAGATGGAAATAGTGGAAGATGGCAGACAAGAAATGGAACCTTCATATTCAGAGATAATTTACCTTTTATTTATCAGATGTTGGAGACAAATGGGGGTATGCCCATTTCCACCACGTCCAATTTTGTAAGTTACCTTATCAGGTCTGCTACTGATGGCAATGCATGGGACCTTGTTCCAGCAAAGCAGGGCGTGTGTTTTCAGCTAGTTCATGCATCACTGTAAAGCCTTCAGTCCCCATCTTCCCACAAGCCCTCCTCTGGTTCAGTGTTATAATTCAATCTTCTAGGGAATATTAATAGACATTGTGACTAGTACAATACTATATTGCCTAAACGTGCCAATCGATTCCGATTTTTTTTTTGTCACCCCCTCTTTTTCTCTTCCCTCAGATCAGTATCTTCATGACTCACCTTTCCAATTATGGCAATGACCGCCTGGGTTTGTACACCTTTAGACACCTGGTCCGTTTCCTCAACTCCTGGACTAACTTGAAATTGCAGACACTGCCACCTGTGCAACTGGCACAGAAGTATTTCCAGATATTCTCAGAGGAGAAAGACCCTCTATGGCAGGTGGGTCCAAATGACTCCAGTACATGTCCACTGTGTTGTTCCACTGGGATTTTTAACAGTTCTTTTGGAAACCAAAAGCCACGTAGTTGTGTTTTATGCTGAGGCCCATCAGAATATGAATCCACAGCACCCAGTGCAGCCATGATAAAAGTGAGCAATCTCTTGGTAGCAAACATGAACAGCAAGAGCGGCTTCACAGTGTTTGTGTAATAGTGCTAGACTTGCCTGTTTTGGCTGGTTTCTGTTCTCCCTAGTTGCAGTTGACATCAACATGGGCTGCATGTCAAATCTGGTTACTGGCTGTAGTTGTAACTCTGAACACTGTGTAGGAATCTATTTTAGTGGTTAGATTTCTGTACAGTTCTTTGCTTGCTTTTGGAGAAGGCAGGGACTGCAATAAAGTTTGGGATGTGTGTTTTCCCTCCACTTTTAAGATGGGGAAACCCAGGTCATTTAGAGCAGGATGTATGCAGCAGGCATAGAGTGCTCGCATAACAGGCGAGGTCCTTGTTCTTGTAGATGGATGTAGGCTGTTCTGGCTTTCGAACAATCTCTCAAGAACAGAACTTGTAGTTTGTGACCTAAAATACTCCTCTCCTTTCATGATGTGTCTGATACCATCCCTGTCATCTTTCAGGATCCTTGTGAGGACAAGCGCCACAAGGACATATGGTCCAAAGAGAAGACCTGTGATCGGTTCCCCAAGCTGCTAATCATTGGTCCTCAGAAGACAGGTATGTTGTAGTCAATGGATTGTTCTGTGTGCTTGAACCCTTTAATTCCATCCCCACTCCTGTTTCATCTTGGGCTCGTTGTTGGGTATGAAGGAAGTTCTGTCTCTGTTTATAGTATCTGCCTGTTGGAGGAAAGGCCATTGCTTTGTCTTGGTTTTTGGAGCCATTAAGTAATCCATTAGCCACATGCTATATCCACTAAGAAAAGGCCATAGTGAAGCTGGAATAAGAGTTGAAATCTAGGAAGTTGCTACCCTTACTATTTATGGTTGAATAACAGTGGCAATAGAGGGAAAAATCTGAAACCATGGGTATAAATTGGTCTGGTGATACCTGACTGAAGCATTTCGTTGGCCTGAAATAATTAGATTAAGCGCAAGCAGAGGACCGGATTTTTGTGGATGAGGGTGGAAAAGTGGTGAACTCTCAGAGAGGCCGCGTATGCCAGAGGCTGGGATGAACTGCTGCTGTATATTGCAAATGAGGAGCAAGGTCTGGCGGGAGGAGGGATGTCTTTAGAGCACAGAAGGGATTTGAGAATTCCTGGCAGCCTTTCAGGGATAAATATGCAAAGTTTTATGTGCCTTAATCCCTTTGAGTTCTTGGAAGATCACGTCGGCTGGCAGAAGTGTGGCAAACCAAAAGGGGAAGCCCAGTCTCAGTTTGGTGTATTTCTCTCTCCCCACCCCCCTTCCCTTCTATGTAAAGGGACCACGGCCCTCTATCTGTTCCTGGGGATGCACCCTGACCTGAGCAGTAACTACCCCAGCTCAGAGACCTTTGAGGAGATCCAGTTCTTCAATGGACATAACTACCACAAGGGCATTGACTGGTAGGCTTTGTTTTTCATTTTATTTTATGCAGGCCCCACTTGCCAGGAGGGTGAGAAGCAGCATGTGCAGGGAATGTGGCATGCGGGGCTGGCAGCCGAGCTTTGAATTAATTGTCGATGGCGCTGTATCAAAAGCTATTTTGCATCTGGGTATTTTTCAGTGCATTTAGCCGTAGGTGCTGGGAAGTACGAGAAAAGCCGAGCAATGGGGAAAGAAAGAGGCTTCTTCTTTTTTTGCCATGGCAGCAGTGCTGAGCTGGGCTAGCCAGGCTGCTCCCCCCACTTTGTCTTCAGAGCGCCCCGAGAAGTGTGATGCACAGAACTGGTTGGACGTGTTTTGTCTGATCTGCGTACTGGGAGGAAGCTTCCCTGATGCTGTCTTTTAAGCATATCTTGTTTTAATGGGCCTCAGCGTGAGCAAATGAGGGAAAAAATATATCGTGTCCAATGTATGATGTTAGTGTGATGACTAACAACAGCAAACTATTTACTGTTTATCAGTTCCTATGTATTCGCTGCATTGCTAGGACAGCAGTTGCCAGGACAGCAGTTGCCTTCCCCCCTTTTTCATTAGCTTAAGTTACAATGTTTACTTGTTACTTCAGTTGAAGCCCCCAGTGGGGACCCAAAGCAGCTTGTGTTGTTCTCCTCTCCTCCATTTTATCCACACTACAACCCCCTTTGAGGTACGTTAGACTGAGGCTGCGTGACTGGCCCCGAGGTCTTCCAGCAAGCTCCCATGGCAGAGTGGGGATTTGCACCTGGGTTTTCCAGATCCTAGCCAAGGCACCCTGGTCACTCTACCACGCTGGCCGATAGCAATTGATCTTATCACTTTATGTGATAAAACACAGCCTGTGATTTAAGAGGAAAGCAGAGTAGTATTTGTTTGACGCACAGAACTGGTTGGACGTGTTTGTCTGATCTGCGTACTGGGAGGAAGCTTCCCTGATGCTGTCTTTTAAGCATATCTTGTTTTAATGGGCCTCAGCGTGAGCAAATGAGGGAAAAAATATATCGTGTCCAATGTATGATGTTAGTGTGATGACTAACAACAGCAAACTATTTACTGTTTATCAGTTCCTATGTATTCGCTACATTGCTAGGACAGCAGTTGCCTTTCCCCCTTTTTCATTAGCTTAAGTTACAATGTTTACTTGTTACTTCAGTTGAAGCCCCCAGTGGGGACCCAAAGCAGCTTGTGTTGTTCTCCTCTCCTCCATTTTATCCACACTACAACCCCCTTCGAGGTACGTTAGGCTGAGGCTGCGTGACTGGCCCCGAGGCCTTCCAGCAAGCTCCCATGGCAGAGTGGGGATTTGCACCTGGGTTTTCCAGATCCTAGCCAAGGCACCCTGGTCACTCTACCACGCTGGCCGATAGCAATTGATCTTATCACTTTATGTGATAAAACACAGCCTGTGATTTAAGAGGAAAGCAGAGTAGTATTTGTTTTTATTTGTTTTAATTATTATTAATAATTAAAACAAATACATTCTACTTTGAGCAAAGTGAATTTTGGAAAAATGACTAACAACAACCACCACCAAAAACTTAAAAACAGAAGTTAAAAATACAATAAAACCACACCACATCTGTTAAACTGAAATAAACATACATCACAATAAACCAGTAGCAAATCCAGTGGGCCGGAATTATGCATTTATGCTAGGAGCAGTTTAACTGTAATAATAGTAGTCTTGTGGGGTCTAAATGCTTGCAATAAAGGCATCAGGTAAACCTCGGTGGGGGTGGGTTCAGAGATGTTGCATCAGAACCAAGCTGCAACTACCTAGCTCATCTCAAGAGGAAGGCAAGATCATGTAGAAGAGCCTCTGAGGGTGTTCTCAGTAAATGCTCTGGTTCATACAGAAGTACTGTGTTAGTTCTGTAATAACTTTGTACATACACACTGTTTTTTGATACAGGTTTTTTAAAAAAATCAGGATGCTTCTAAAATAGAAATGGTTTAGGATTTCCTGAATCCTTAATTTTTAAAAATCCAAAACACAGTTATATATCAATATGAAACAAAACACTAGAGAAATAGTAGAAACAGTTTCTTCACTGCCTTCACCCATCTTTCTCTTCTGCCACTGGCATCTCTTAAGGTATATGGAGTTCTTCCCCATCCCCTCCAACACCACTTCGGACTTCTATTTTGAGAAGAGTGCCAATTACTTTGACTCAGAAGTGGCGCCGAGGCGGGCTGCCGCACTGCTTTCCAAGGCTAAAATAATCACCATTCTCATCAACCCGGCAGATCGGGCTTACTCCTGGTACCAGGTAAGCCTCCCTATTGTATGGCCTTGAAGTCTGTACCTTGAAATTCTGCTGTGGTATTGTGTTTAAGACCTAGAAGTGAGATACTTTTTAATTGAAAGGAAGCATATAGACGACAGCTTCCAGCTGGTTTCTTTTCCTAGTTAATACATTCTAAACTTCTGTCTCAACAGCACCAGCGAGCACATGATGACCCAATTGCCCTGAAGTACACCTTCCATGAGGTGATCACAGCTGGGACTGAGGCCTCACAGAAGCTCCGCACCTTACAGAACCGCTGCCTAGTACCAGGCTGGTATGCAACCCACATAGAACGCTGGTTGAATAATTTCCATGCCAATCAGGTAAGAAGGACAAAAGGGCTGTATTATCTTTCACGAACCGAACGTGGGAGTATTTGCCTTTCAGAGAGGAAACATTTGAGATGGTTGGCATTGTCACACATGAGGGATTCTCCATAGGTCTTAAGGACAATGCATACATAACTGGAGTGGTGACTGAGCCATATTTTTCTGTGGCTGGATTCCATGCTGTCCCGAGTTATAGGCTGCACCGGAATGATAATTTCTGCTAACAGAAAGCACTTGTTTTAGTGGCATAGAACTTTGTGCCTCCCCCTTCTCTGCTGCAGCCCACTGGTCCCCCTAAAATGTCCCAGGAACATCATGGGGACAAATTGGTGGTTTGTGGGGTGGGGTGGGGGGGTCAACAACACAATCTTCCCAGTCGCCAACCCCCTGCAGTTCCTCTTCTGGCACAAGAGTGATTTTAAAAATCCAGCCATATGGCAGTTCCTTCCATTCTGTTTTTATACCTGCCTTCTTCCAAAGAGCACAGATTCTTTGTGTAGATGTGGTTCTCCCATCCTCCATTTTATCATTGCAACACTATGAGGTAGGTTAGGCTGAGAGAGGAATAACTGGCTCAGGATCATTCAGTAAACTTTGATGGCAAGTAGGAATTTGAACCCGATTATTCCCAGTCCTAATCCTGTACCCGGACCACTATACCACACTCGTTCTGCACCCGCACATTGTATTTATGTTCAGTGCTTGTTAAATGTTTAAGGGGATATTAAGAATTGGCAATTCTAATGGTCTGTCCCCAGTTATTTTCTCTTTGCATTTTCTTGGACTGTAAAAAGGAATCCATTCACTCAGCCTGCTGTACTTCGGGCTGCAAAATGAGAACACCCTTCTGTCAGATACTTTAGACGCAACAATTGATGTATCTAAGAAAGCTGGCTGGCTTGATGCCTCCAGCCACCTCTGGGTTTCTGGCAGCGGGTGCTGCCTGCTGACATCATCCTCAGGCACCTCTTTCCCCACAGCCTACCTTGAGCAGCTGGAAGCCAGTTTTGCCAGAGGGCTCTTGGGCAGCTGGCTTGCTTGTCTGCCTGCTGCAAAGAAGGGCTCTTATGAGCTGGAGGAGGGAAATGGTCCCACCAGGCATGGGAGCTGTTGCCATGGTGTTCCCAGTGGGGTGGGTTTGGTTGCTGTAGATTCCTTTTGGTGTAGGAACCAGAGCAATAAGTGCGAGCTTCTGGGACATTTGGTTCCTCAAGAGTGCTGATAACAATGCTTTTATTTTAGGTATGTAAAAAAATGCATATCCATACCTTCTTTTTTTAACCACTCCATCTTAATCTGTTGGGAAAGACAAGTATAGAACGTTGACACGATGTACTGAGCCTTGATAATGCCCCTTCCTTCCTGTCCCATTGAGGAAAGGAGCAGTAGAAAGCTGGGTTGTCAACAAGTTCTGCTTTCATTTATAGCTAAGGAGAGGAGATGGCTGTCAGTGGGTACTTTGTACTTGTACTGGGCTATGTTAAGCTTCAAATCAGAGTTGAATTTAGTGAGCCAACTTCATAGGTTTCTTGTGTGTGTGTGTGTGTGTGTTTGTTTGTCTTTTCAGATTCTTGTTCTGGATGGCAAGCTGCTACGCACAGAACCAGCCAAAGTGATGGAAACAGTCCAGAAATTTCTCGGGGTAACAAACATCATAGACTACCACAAAACTCTAGCGTGAGTCCATCCTTTTCCTTGAGTTACTTTAGTCCTTTAAATCTTGCGCCTGTTCATGTTTATAACTTACATCTCTCTTCTCCCTCCCTCCGTCCGCACACTCATCCAGCCTGATTATTTAGGTTTTAATTTGAGATGTGAACTCCATGAGTTCTCAAAGAATGAGTACTCAAAGTGTACTCGAATCTAGACTTCCTCCGCTATTGTGGGTACAAATACAATTCTGGGGCTTTGCTAACCTGCCTGCCCAAGTACTATTGTGGCTTTTCAGGACAGGAGGGAACTAAATTCATTGTGCCCTGTATTCAGAGGGCAATAACGGTATCCTTAGTTCATGGAGTTCTGTTACCTATGGCTCAAACCATAATTTAGGGCCAAAATGCATGTAGCAATTCTTTTTTCCCTGTAAAGGTGTTTTGAGGGGGGCCAGGTTGGGAATGGAAAAGGCCAGCAGAGGGGAACACTTAACTTTTCTCTGCCTGCCGTTCTGTGCTCCAAATGCACACCAAGCAGTCCCTCCCTGATAATTTCACATTTATGCTTGCACCAATGCACACAGGCTGTGGATTCCTGTCTATGGTGATGAAATTATTATTATTATTATTATTAGTAGTAGTAGTAGTAGTATCATCATCTTCTTTATTTATAGCCTGACTTTCTCACTGAAACTCAAGGCAGATTATGAAGTGTGATGAAAACAATTCAGTCAGACAACAGAGATCTCTAATAAACTAAACAATGCAGTAGTGCTAGGACTGGTGGTAGTGGTACAGTGGCTGTGAAGGGAAGAGTAGGCATGGTGGTGTATGGTGGTTGAGTAGGATAGCGGAGGCAGGATGGAGTTGGTGGTATTCATATTTTTTTTTGCTCCTAGACTGCTGTGCTCTGATTTCCCTTTCCGTTTATTTCATAATTACATTATCAGATTTGTAATGCGACTACATTAATGCTAGATCTTGCTGCTCAAAATTAAATAAATTCATAATCCCTGAATTGATTGGCCATACCATTGTCACTGTATTAATGCTTATTTCACTGCACTGGTTTGTCTTCCTTTTCAGTTTACCTGTAGCAACCTGGAAGATTTGTGTGTGTGTGTGTGTGTGGAATATATATGTGTGCAATCTTAATGATTGTTTATAAAATTGTAATGCATATTAGAGTTTTTATTTTTATTGTGATTGTTGCATTATAACTCTGATTTTGTTGGTATTTTGGTGTTAATTGCTAAGGCTGTGAGCTAATGCAATAAAGCTTATGATTGACTGATTGATTGATGTAGGTACATTATGGTTCCCAGTGGAAACATAGGGGTATTTAACCCCACAGAGATTCATAATCGAGGACAGCTGAAATCTCATATGGAGGGGGCTATGATTAAGCTTGGCTTTCATCTCCTTTGCTTCTTCATGTACCTTTACAGTATGATCTTGGCTTTGATAAATGATTGAAGTCAACATGGAGGTATTGTGGTTGATGAATTCTTAATTCTCTCTCCATTGAAAAATTGTGGAACCAGGCGCAGCTTTCAAGTAAACCTCGACCAGTGTTGTCATGTAGTATATTTTTTCCTCTTTGAACAAAAATATTTTTGCTGTATTTTTAACATATTAAAATATTTAAAAAACCATGAAAAAGTAGTGCTAGGACTGAAGAACTGGAAAACAGTGCAAGCAAACAAAAAGCTTTCTGAGGCAACAAAACAGTCAATAAAGGCAAGAAGATAATATGATGTCTAAGATAATAAAGTGGTCTGAAGTTTGGTATACCATACTTGAAGTGAAGATTACGAAGATAAAAGACATTGCAAGGTTACAAAGGTAGAAGACATTGAATTGCGGTAATTTGGGGAAGCAGTGGCCAGTGAAAGGGTCGATTGTCCCTATGCTTGTGAAATATCTCTTCATGGGGGAAAGTCTGCCACTGAGGGGCTGTAACCTCTTTTGGCCTTAGATTTCACTGACCCTTCCTTTTCCCCCTTTATTCATAGACCTGTGGACTTGTTTCTGAATAAAGAGTATGGCTGATGGGGAAAAAACTGTGGATGGGTGTTGATTTCCAGTTCTCTGAATAGGAGCAGTCACAAATTTTGCAGCCTGCTACAAAGCATTTTTTTTTCTTTCCTTTTTACCGACGTCAACTAAGTCCATCAGTTAGTTTTGGGCAGTACAATGTATGACAAATATCACTGTAAAAATATCTGATAGCTAGCTTGAAAAGAAGATATGCAGTACTTGTAAATCAAATAGCGTTGAATGCTTCTGAACAAATACTTAAAATAAAAAGCAATTAAGTGATAAGCAATTAAAAAAAAACTGATTACACAGTATGTTTCGATTTAGGGGAGGGAAAGCCTCTAAATCAAGAACAAGAGGCAATTTGACCACAGCTGCTGCTTTTGCTCCCAGCACTTTGAAAAATCTCTGAGACTATAAAATTAGTAGGACAATTCAGAAAGGCAAGTGTTAAAAGCATGGGAATATCTTTCCTGCCACATCAAAAAACAAAAAAACAGAAGCTCTAACCTGTGATAGGTTTTCTAGCATTCTTTCTAATGTCTTTATACTTTTGCCCAACTGAACTAACATGGGTGAATGATGATAGGACTCATTTCATATCTCTATTTGGTAAAATGGTGCTAATGTTTTGTGTGTGTGTGTGTGTGTGTGTGTTAATTGTTCTCTGTCCCTGTTGCACTGGGTTATTGCCATGTATCACAATCCAGCATAGTTTTAGTTTCTGCATTTCTTATGTAACAGAAAACTGTCCTATTTTTTTATTAAAAAAAAATCCCCAAAGGGCAAGTGAATTTGCTTGCTCATTCTTCTTTGGGGTTCGTCATTGCAGGTTTGATCCCAAGAAAGGATTCTGGTGCCAACTACTGGAAGGTGGGAAAACCAAGTGCTTGGGGAAAAGTAAAGGAAGGAAATATCCAGAGATGGATTTAGATGTAAGTATATAAAAACTGCCAAGAGCTCTTCCTACTCATACTTTTTTGCAGATGCAAAGTTTGATTTGTGTAACTACTGAATCTTTGATTTCCAGTGTTCTGCACAACTTGCACTCCATTCACATTTTACATTATCAGTGCAAGAACAGTGTTCCTGAGGTAAAATCTCACAATCTGTATAGTAAGGAGACAGATGAAAGCCTTGCGGGCAATAGGGAGAAGCTGTGTGGGCCATTCCCCCCTGTTTCCTCAAGATAGATCTGCAGTATGAGAAACACACAGAGCTTTCCCCCCTCCACCTCCTAATTTTGCATCCCCACTGGTTTTCCCTGTAGATCCAGAAATCTTTCTGAGCTGTCACTGCTTGGGAGTTCAATGTGCCCAGAATGCCTTAAAAAGTTACAGTCAGACAAGCTCAAATGTTAATCTGGTTATGGTATCAGTTTGGTATGTGCTGTAGTAGTTTGAGAGCAAGCTTGTAAAAAGAATCTTTAGGATGCTGTGTGTCATTAAAAATTGAATTTGTTTGCAAAGAAATTGGAATTAATGTGACTTTATGTTTAAAGAGGATAAAAGTGGTGGGGGAGAGTAGAAAGACAGAAGATTCTGTAGGCCTTTCCTATGTTGCCTCATGTAAGACATTAAGCTCCACAAGGATCCTCAAAAGCTAACATGGTTCTTTTGAGGTGATTTCAAAGAGTTTGCAAAATTTGAGTTTGGTCAGATCTTTGGTAGTGTCTGGCAGCTCAAGGTCTCCATGTGCTGTATCTAGATGGGCTTCTGGGAAAAGATTACCATTAACTTTCTAGGATCTACCAAAGGACCCCTCGTGAATCTCATGGATTCCTTCTGTGTGGCTCGAAGCTTCCCCCATCAGGACTGCGGGGAAGTACTCCTTAGCCAGTTAGATGGAGGACTGAGAACAAGCCAGTGCTAGAACTGTAGGTAAACTCTCACAGATTAGTGGGAATTAACTTCTGCTTTTCTGAATGATGGAGAATGCGTCTGGCTTCTTGTATGAGATGGGATTCCTATGCAGTGAATCTGAATGCACAGAAATACCAGGAGACAGATGCTTAGGTCTGGGTCTAAAAAAGACAGATTGAGTAAACATATTTCTAAACTTTTAAATGCCAATTAACTTACATTTCTATCACCCTGACAGAATTGGTGCAGGTGACACGATCAATGTTCCCTCTAAGCTGTAGAGTCCTGAGAGCAAAAATTCTACTTTGTGAGCTACTGGCATTAAAGTTGTGAGCAGGTGATTTGGCTCCTGCATAGATAAGTCTGCTCTGGAGCCCTCCTTCCTGAGCCGAGACAAAAATGTGTGAGCCGGAGGCTAAAAAACTGTGAGCTAGCTCACACTAACTCAGCTTAGAGGGAACACTGGACACGATTCCTAATTGCACAAGTCCTTCCTGAATGGCTGATCAGATTATTTGGTTCAAAATACCCCAGCACTTGTAGTTCCTATGAATACCTGTGACTGCTAACATTTGTTCTGTCATAGTCAGCATTGTCTACTCTGACTGGTGGCAGGTGTGCAGGCTCTTGAGTAGAGGCCTCCTGCATCTCCTGCTTTCTAATTCTTTCAACTGGAGATACCAGGGATTGAACCTCGGACCTTCTGTATGCAAAGCAGATGCTGTACCACTGAGCCTCACAACCCCTCCCTATATACACACACACACACATTCAGACTTTCAGAATGCCTTAAAAATCTTGCACACACCACAGGAAAGCAGCTCCTGTGTTTCTAGCAGTAACCATTAATGGGCTCAGTGCTGGATGTCAGGTTGGCAAGGCTGAATCAGTCTAAAACATTTCCCTTTAGTGCTTACCCTTTCAGCAGAAAAGTTTCACTAACCGTTCTGTGAGATTTACTATTTTAGGGGCATTTCGCACATTATTTTTTTTTTTAGCTGTTATCCTAAAGATGTAAAGTGTGAATGTTACAAGCATTCATTAGGGAGCTGTGATTGGTTGATGATACTTGTTGAACATACACTTGGTAATAAACCTGGAAGTTCTCTGTGTAATGTGTGAAGTGGCCCTTGTAACAATGGCATTCAGTTATTTTTTGTTTTTTCTCTCCTCCCCCCCCCCCCCCCCCCGCCTTCTCTTGCAGTCGAGAGCTTTCCTGAGGGACTATTACCGGGACCACAACATAGAGCTATCCAAGCTACTGTACAAAATGGGCCAGACTCTACCAACTTGGCTGCGGGAGGAACTTCAGAACACTAGATAGCCACTTCATATTTCCTGTATTGAGCAATAGTAGAATGAGTCCACGGGGAGGATCTCAAACCTGAATGCTGAGCTGAAATGACATGTTAGGGTGTGAGATGCACAACCTGGGAAGAAGAAGCATTTTGAGCAATATCCATTCAAGGTCTTCAGGGGAAATGGGGAAAGGCCCCTACAGTTGAGATTGTGGCTTGGAAGAAGTTGATTAGCCACGCCCCTGAGTCAGTCAGCATTCTGCAGATCCCTTCCGGTTTCCCCAGGAGCTACAGCTGGTGTCAGGGTTGCCTCCTACTCTGTATTGCCACTTCCTGGTGAAGAGGACTCACAGAGGATCTGCTTTCTCCTCCACACTTCAGTTCCCTCTTCTGAAATAGTATTACAGCAAGTGACTCCTCTCCTCAGGTGATGGGGAAAAGAGGGAACAAAGAACTCCTGTGGGGCCAGTTTGGGATTAATTGCTGTGCCATGTGAGTGTAGGAGGAGACCCGACAACGTGGGTTGTGTGAAGTCTGAGCCAGATGAGGACCCTGCTGCAAGCATGGACCCAGTTATGCAATTTGGGCTCAAACCCAGACTGGACTGAGGCAGTATAACTGAGTAGAATTCTTAGCTGAAAGGAGGTGTCTTCTGTTTTATACAAGGTGATATTGAAAGATGCTGGTGCTGGCAATATTTAGGTTATCCCAGATGGATTATTCTTTTCCATCTTTTTATTTTGGGGTTGGGTGGGGGTGGAGATAAGGAATAGGGGGGGGGGGGATACCCACACGCTCACCTCACAAATTATCTGCCAAGAAGATTGTCTGAATATGTCCCACCAACCATCCCTGTCTGCAGTCACAGGTTTTTTAAAATGTGAGTGGTATTTCCTGTGGTAAAAGACTGAGGCCATCCAGTATCCTTGCTGCTTTTTAGCACATGGCCTGCCAGCTCGAAAAAGCAAACTGAACAGGGCATCAGCAGCGGGTGGGGAAATGTATAGGCACTGGGCTAATGGCTGCCAAAAAGATTAAGAACACTGAACCTCTTGAGAACTAAAAGAGACAGTATTTTAATAACTTCCTTTGTGAGAGCTTTTTTGGATTCCCATAGTTTGTATTTCAGTTCCTGGGTTTTTATTTTGTCCCTTTTCGTGTTGGGGTGGGTGGGAGTAATATGGCCCATAGATTTGGTTGATCTCCCTAATGTTTGCATTTTAGAAGAACTTTTAAAGGATGAGTGTATTGTTGCCACAGCTCCATGGACTTTGCTTTTCCAGTATTTTCTGCCAGGGCCCCTTCTTGACTGAGTGACAAGCTCTGCTAACAAAGTCAGCCTTTGCAGTTTTGCCAAGTGTGTACATATATAACAATTGGCAGGCAAGCTGCTGATGGTAAAATTGTTCAGCTATATTTGCAGTTGGCCGTTACCTCTCTGCCTCATTTTGGCGAAAGTGACAAGTTAAAGCAGAACCATAAGTGATTTTGTCACTTGGCTTATCCAGTCTAATACGGTTATTTATTGAAGGCCTTTATAAGGAATGACTGAAAGACTCATTTTTCAGATGAAGCTGAGAAGGTTGGATTTGGGAAGGAAGAAGCACGGATTGATGTGTTTCTGTTTTTTTTTCCTTTTCAACACAGTGCAGGGGTTGGTTTAATGAACTAGAAATATAGGTACTCTGCCTCCAAATGCAGACAGTTCTGGTAAATAGTAACACACCGTTTGGTTGTAAAGGCCAATGGAAGGAGATTTATAGACTGGGAACTGAAGACTTCAGCAGAGAAGGCTTTTCCTCAGTGCTTATGTTTTAGAGTTGAAGACCACAGGTTATCTCATCAGGTTGCTTTCATGCCTTGCTTGTGGGCATCCTGGAGGCATTTGGCTCATCATTGTGAGGAATAGGGTGCTGGCGCTCATGGGCAATTGGCCTGATCCCTCAGGGGCCTTCAGAAGCAGAAATCCTTCAAAGTAGCAGTTGTCTTGTGAGCCAGGAGAACAGTTCCTCATACGAACACAAGCCTCTTCCTAAGCTCAGGGTCAGGGTCTTGTCTTGAAACAGTTGCAGGTTCCCTCTGTGAAGTGTGAAGACTTCATCATGACGTCCTTATTCTTATCTTGTCTCCCCTGCCCCCAGCTCACTTAATTCCCTTCATTCAGGTTTTCTCAGCCATCTTCAGTCAGTTTGATTCCCTTTCACATAAGTATCTTCCTGATGTAATGATCTCAAGGCCCCAAAGCTTATGCCATGGTAAACATGTTAGTCTTCAGATTGCCACAAGACTCCATTTTATGTTTGCTTCTTTAGACTAACAGGACTCTGTAGAACTCTATTACTCTTCTACATGGGTTTTCTCCGATGCCCACCCTGATGCTGTGCATGAGCTCCACCTTGTGGATCAGTCAGGAGTTGCTGATTCTCTTGCATGAGACCTTATTCAAACAGGATTAAACAATAAGGAGTATGTAGCTAGGATATAATACTGTAGAAAACTAAATGTGAATTGCAGTGTGGTGGTGGTGGGCAATACCTTTTTAAAGAAATTAAATACAATGTGTGCACACAGCCTTCTGTAGCAGTAAGTTCTCAGTAACTGGAATGAAATAAGCTGGCTGTCAAGAGATCCTCCCTTCCCAGGCAATCTTGGCTGGACACATGTATCTCCTTTCAGATGGGAGCAACCCAGAAGAAAATGCAAAGGTTGTATGTCATGTGCCTCCCTTGCTCATTGTAAGATGAGCCCCTTCTGCATTATCTTGGCTCTGTCCATTTCTTCTCTCCCCACCGTTGTTCAAGAAAGCTCTTTCCTGTTTGTAGCTATCTGCTAGAATGCAGGCATAAGAGAACAGAACCCTCTCCCTGCTTATAGCTTACCTCCTTACCTCCACCAATCACTGTTCCTGGTTTTGGAGCGCAATGGAGACATATGTGTAACTAGGACGACCTTTGGAGAGGAGTGATGGTTCTGCATCTTGCACACTCTCTTTTACTGTGTAATAATGCACACATACGTTCATTATACATGTTTGGAGCAGATCTATGTTTCAGTATGCAGTTTCGCCACAGTCACATCTAGCTGACTCTTGAGCATCTGCATGTATTCTAAGAGCTGAAGTCTTGCAAAAATTACGAGGCTTTTACAGGGTGCCAGTTTAGGCAGCCTGTGACTGACTTTAACTTTGTAGTTTAGCTGTCTGCCCTACTTCAATTTTCAAGTGATGTGTTCACATTAGAAATGTACCTGGCAACAGAGTTATCCAGTTAGAGCAACTACATAAGCGCTTTTCATGTGGCCTTTCTTTAGCTGCTTAGCAGTTTTGAAAATGGAGTCCAGCAGCCATCTTCCTTGCTCTATTACAGATTAGTGATTCTGCGAATACCAGTTCTAGCAAGCCATGCCTTCAGAGGTACAATGAGATTGAGCAAGTCAGTTGGTCAGATGGGACAAAGCTTGTAACACCAAAAGAAGCATGCAGTTGGTTTGGTGTAACTCAGTACTGGTGTTGCTTTGGGCCTGGGGCAAAATTAATACAGATGGAGACAACAGGATCATAGCTTTTCATAGTTTTTGGAATGCCATGAGTGGAGGTGACAGCTACCTTCACAAAAGAGGTTTGCTGGACCTTTTTATTTTCCACCATTTTGGGGTTGCTGGTGTAATTCACAAAGACAGATCTATAAGTAGCAGAAGCAAGAGAGCTAGCTGTTAAAATACAGTTGCAGGAAACACTGAACAGTCAACCTCCAGTGGGAGAGCATCAACAAAGAGACGGTAGGTGCAGGCACTGCCATCGAGGAAGGTACTAGTTTGAAGGCAACTTATTATTATTTTTCTGAAGTAACTGTGTTGTGTTAGAATAACTTTTCTAGAAGATGGTAGCATGTGGACTTTTTGTTTCCTCACAGACGTGGTGCTGTGTTGGTCATGCCTTGCTTCAGTTCTGGTGCTCAGGAACAGAGGGAAAATTACGGATATACTGTCTCACTCTCACACCTAACTTGGTCCATTTACAGACTAAGCCAGCTTCCAGGGTGGTTTAGAAGAAAAATAATTTTCAATTAAAATAATGAAGTTGACCAGTTGTGGTAGAAAGAGGGGAGGTGATAGGGCGATACTGCAGGGGTGTACTGTTTCCCTTGGCTTTACCACTGGCCCTATGAAGAGGGACCCTGCTGTGGCCAGAGTATCTAGAAGGCTGGGGTGGGGCACTACTGAACGATCAACATCTCTCCCCCCCCACCTCTGCAACTGCTAAACAGAACATGGGCTGTGTTGTCATGGCTGACTAAGCAAGAAGAGACTGAGCTCCCTAAGTAAGATCTGCCTCTGATGCCAACATGGCTCTAATGGTATAAGTGAGACATCTAGAGAGCTTGGGAGAAGGTGATCTACTATAAATCTAACAAATACAATGAGCAATTTTAGGGCGGTGATTTCTGTGGAATATTTCTACTGCTTTTGTAGACTGAATGTTCTTTGCAGTTTAGGAACAGGAGGCTTCAAATGCAGCAGTCCCATTCCTGACCCCAGTTTCTCTCTGTGTGTTTCTTACTGTCATAAATGTCAGGCCACAGGTTTAGATGTTAAATGGCAGGAAATTCATGGTTTCCCTTATGTATGTGGAAGGTGCAGGTGATAGTTCTCAAGGGAGACTTCGGCAAATGGCTTTAATAGGTAATGTTCAGAGGGTATTGCAGCCACTGACTGAAATTTCAGTCTCATTATGAACTTTATTGTTACCATTGTGAACTGCTTTCTGCAATTTCTAACTAGAAAACTGGTGTAGAAGCTTTTTATAAATGAATAACATATGCTTGAGTTTGGGTCCAGTTGGTAACCGTCTCCATCTTCTTAGGCTCTGGCATTTGCACTGTCAAAGCAACAAATGCAAAATATCTAATCTTAGACATCTTTTGGATTTTAAAAAAAGTAAATTTAGACTGGCTCCAAAATAGTACTGTGATTTTTGCCTGCACTTTACATGAAAAAAGAAATCTGTCTCTCCTCTAACTCATTTGGTCATTGTAAGAGTCGTATGGCATTACTCTCCCTGGATGAGCAAATCTTGCTGAGAGTTTGTCAAGATCTGGCCTTTAAAAAGAAACACAACACTTGTCCTTATGTTTTTTTTTTTTTGGTGATTGTTCTTAAGAAAAGGAGGAGCCTTCTGTCAGTTCCCATTTTTATTTTTGCATGAGATTCTGTATGGTTTTCCCATGGGGAAAAGGGTATTTTCTTGGTGGGAGGGAGGGAGGGAGGGGAAGGGACTATTTTAAGAATCTTTATTTCCCCCTTATTTTTAATCTGTACTTGAACTCCATTTTGGGTTCTGAAAACTGTGTCACTAATGTAAAGTCCTGTTGAATTAACTGCTAATAAAATGGGGTTATCTGTTTTTAAATACTTGAGTGAACTGTATTCTCTTCTTTTAAGACTGAATTTGAAATGGAATGCAATACCACTGTGGAACATTCTAGGACTTTCCTACTTTGGTCTTGAATGTGAACTTGGGGCAAACCACAGCTGCTGACACATCCCACATGGGTGTGTTGCGGAAGAGTGTCTGGTGTGTTCAGAGCTGTGCTTATTTAACATGTGGTATTAAAAAATTATCAGGATGCCTGTTACTTTCTTTCTGTGTGATGTCAAGTTCCCTAGAATTAAGCAGACCCCCCCCCAAAAAAAATCCAAATTAAGAAGCAGAATGTTAGAGAATGTCTAGGAGAAACTCCACCCCTCTTCCAATTCATAATACTTTTTCAGGAATTCACATTATCACATGGCTATGAATCCAGTAATTTAGAAGCCAGTAAAGCCCCGTTGGTGAGTTCCATTAACTACATATTTAGCATAAAATTTTAAATATTTTAAACTTTAAATACTCACCAAAGATTAGAAATTAACTTTGAAATCTTCTACTGATCCTGAAAGCTTTGTTCAGTTTCCATTTGGAATACAATCACTGGTTGAGGTTTGAAATTTTTCTCAATAATTAAAAAAATTCTGGGATCCAGAGAAGCATGGATTGGCAAGGGTTCCCCACCAGGTGGCAGCATCAGTTTAGAAAAAAAAACATTTGCTAGATTAAAATGAAGTTTATAAGAAAGTTGTATCTGAAGCTTATTAGAGTGTCACACACACACTGGTTGCAATGTATAACTACCAGAATCAATTTTGCCATTGCCACCTCCTCGGGAGTATTTTTTTGTTTTTATAAGTACCCAAGGGTACATTTTTATTGATTTTTCCCATTATAAACCACAAACATACATAGCAACAGACAAACACCTACCTACAACTAACAAACACAAAACATACAGCGAGAGGCTTATATCTCATATTCTATCTTCGATGAACTATTTGTTAATTTTCCACAGTAATTTTCCCTTGTCTACAGTAATTTTCCCTTGTCTATCTTAATGGCTTTCCCTTTTCTGTGTTCTCAGATTTCCACAAATCAAGTTATTATGCTTGTTATACCAGTCATAAAATCTCTTCCAAGTGTTCTGAAAAGTCCATTCAGTTCCAGCTCTCATCTCTAATGTCAGTTTATCATTCTCAGCTGTTTCAAACAGTTTATTCACAAATTCTTGTTTTGTTGGAGTCTCTGTTGTTTTCCAGTATTTAGCATATAAAATTCTTGCAGCTGTATTGTTACTGTGACGGAGTTTTTCCTAATATGGGATCTGTCACTTCTTGCATTTAGCCATGTGTTACATTTCCTGCAATTGCACTTCAATCAGTATCCGTATGGAATGCATACTTTTATCTCATGTGTGAGTAGGATCTTGGAACTCAGTTTTGATTGGTGCCACATGTGTGGTCGCTTGGGGAATTTCTGAAGTCTGGAGAAAATGTTGATATCTATTCCACGTCTTTGTTACTCCAAGAAAAATAAGTGTGTATTGCTGTTAAAATAACCAGTACAAAACCTTTCTAACATCTTGTTGGAGCTGTGGGTGGATGGTTATTGTCCACGGAAGAAGGTGGGGGGGTTGCAGGGAAACTGAATTCACTCTTTTAATCTGATTTTACTGTGGAAGACGCGGGGTGGCTATTGCCCACAACCAGGGTGTCTGAAGCACCGAGTCAAATCGACGGGATGAAGGGCCAATCAACAAATTAAATTCTAGGATGCTACTGAGTCTAGATGGTGAAGATTGTAGTTGGCTGCATGAGGAACTCTGGAGGAAATGCTGGTGGAAGGCTGGGAAAGGTCTGCAGCCATCATTGACGTCTGCTGACGAATTGCTGGACCCACCTCTTAGTAGATCTATAGTGTGGCTGCATATCAAAAAGGCTGTTTTAAACCTGGGAAAGGTATAGGAAAGAGCAACCAGAATGATCAAGAGGACTGGAGCCATCTTCCTTATAAGGAAAGGCTAAAACGTTCAATTTAGAAACAAGACTATTAATGGTTTATATGACAGCGGTTTATTCATGGGATGGAGAAAATGGCTAAAGAGGACTTGTCTCCTGGTCCCAATATGCTAGACCTAGGGGCCACTCAATGAAGTTGATGGGCAATACATTCCAGACAAAGGAAATACTACTTTACTCAGCATGTAATTAAATTGTGGAATTCGCTACCTGTGGACTTATTTATTTAATGACCAAGAAGGTCCTCTCCCATGTTGCCACTCCTCTACATTCAGAAGGCAGGGGAAGCCGAAGCAGGGCCTTAGAAGATGACCACAGCAGTTGGGTAGGTTCATAAGGGAGTAGGCAATGTTTCAGGTGTGCTCATCCCAAACTATGCAGGGCATTAATACACATTTGCAGTCTTGCCTTGGCTTGTTGGAACGCTGTGGGCATCCGAAGATGGTCATAGTGGTTACCTTTCAAGGGCAGCCTATGCAGAGCACATTGCAGGAATCTAATCTGGATGCTGCTAGAGCATGTAGTGGTGGCCATGTGTACAGATGGCTTCAAAAGCGGATTAGAAAAATTCCTTAAGCATAGCCCCATCAATAGAGCTAAAGGGGATTTCCACCTTCAGTGGGAACGACCCTTTGAATACCAGTTCTCTCAAGAGCAGTTCTCTCAGATCTTTCTCAGTCCCATCTACTTCACAGGATGTCTGTTGTGGGGAGAGGAAGGGAAGGTGGTTATAAGCTGCTCTGAGCCTCTGAGTGAAAGGCGGGGTATAAATCCAATTCTTCTGTGGGCCTTCCCAGGGTATCTGGTCTGCTGCTGTGGGAAATAGGATGCTGGACTGGATAGACGATTACAAGGAGAGATGCCATGGCTGCCATCCAAAAACCAGAGAGAGATTCCAGGTTTCCTATATGCTCCTTTCCATAGGAGTTGGGGGTATGTGCATGCATGGATCCTGACAGCATGCCCTCCAGTGTTAGTTTATGCTGTTTCAGCTGTGCTAGTTCGTTGTTTAATTCGCAATGTTGGCAAACTTCCTAATAGCTTTGCTTCTCTGGTTACTTAGCAGGCTCCTACTCTACCACCAACACATCTTTAGATCACATAGCGTGGGAGCTTAGAATAGTATTGACAATGCCTGTACAAAACAAAATTGCTTGTTGATGTTGGGGGTTGGAATTCTCTTTTAGCTTGAATAGTTTGGGCTGCATCAATAACAGTTAATTTCTAGGTGGTGTGGAAGAAGCTGCCATTGTCATAAAAACTCCCCTTAGCTGTTGCTTGTCACATAGCAATGTTTTTTCCCTCCATCAAGGGCATTCTTAATTCAAGAGGTTGCCTGTGAGCCAGCAGCTGGAGCTGGGATAATACAGATGGTGTGGTAATACACAGCATATCTCTAAGGAGTGCCACAGATTTGGCTGGCAGAGTTGGGCACTGAGCAGCCTAACTGCTATTGCTGCACTCTTGACAAGAATGGCACTGAAGCACTGAAGCTTGCCAAAACAGCAGAGTTCCAGGTCCCAGTGTTTGTAGCGAAAGCTTTTACACTGGCTGCTTTCCATTATACCGATCGGAGTCGGCGCAGGCACACTATATCCCAGAGGTGTGAATGCACAGATGACCACTCGAAGATCCCCAGTTACAGGTAAGCAACTTGCTTTATTCTGCCCTGACCTGGATAATCCAGGGTAGCCTGATCTCATCAGATCTCAGAAGCTTGGCTAGTATTTGAAAGGGCAAGCTCCAAGGAATACCAGGGTTGTGATGCAGGCAATTGCAAACCAGCTCTGAAATGTCTCTTGCCTTAAAACAACTCTTGCTCACCACCTAGTGATGCACAATGCTAAAAGAGCTAGAACTTTTGGCTGCCAGAGAATCTTAGGATCTCCTGGCTATTCTACACACAACGCCATAAGATAATCATTATTATCCAAGTATTCTGTCTGTTCCTGTCTCTAAAAACTGGTGTCCTCACAATCATATCTCATAAATGGTATATGGCAGGTAATTGGTGTTAAAGGAATTAAATTTTGGGCCTTTTGCACAAGATCACTCTTCGCATAGAAGTCACCATGGATGCTTTGATTTTGCTTTTTAAAAAATCTCAGACTTATAATGCTGTGAATTTGTCTTTCAAGCCCTGATATTTTCTCCCTCTACCAGACTCTTCTTGTTTGAATTTCTAATGAAATATTTGGGAAGGGTGTGCTACCTGCTGCCATGGCAAAGGGAACAGAGTGCTTGCTTCTCTAAGTACAGCTAAGAGAATAGGCTGACTGAGCACAAACACTTAAGCACCATGCAGTTCTTTTCATCCAGAAACTATAAACCTCGGTGTACACTTTTGCTAACAAAAATAGTTAGAACTGAAAAGAATATAGTTACCTAATCTGTGTCTCTTGTTCTGTGGCATAGTACACAAAACAATGCCGGGCATCCTATAGCAATATTCTGTTGTGCATATTGTATCCAGTTGAGGGCACTAGAGCAGATGTTAAAACTGCTTCACTGCTATGCGCACGATGGAAATCTCTCCCTTGCAGCACACTGATGTTCACACCATGGGCAATTGTTTGAACTTTTAGAGCCTGACGCTAAAGGCCTCCTAGAACTTGGGCAAAGAATTGAACTTCTGTAAGCAGAGGATTCCTACCCAGCCAATAGATTTCCCTCAAAAACAACACAACGGACAACTTTTAGCAGAAGGCTAGATTGCGAGTGGAGGAAAGCTCAAAACAAGTGTGACCAAACACAGCTGAGAACCTATTTTTAAATTATTCTTTTTTTATTGTTACCTGTATTGTGTTGTGAGCCTTGCAACAGCAGGGGAAGGTGGGCTAAAAGTCTAAGAGAATAAATAAATACATAATGTTATCATGCCTAATCCATTTCCCCTGCTGTTCTCC